AGATGTAACTTTCACAATGTTCCAGCCCATTACACGGATCAGGACATTTCTGCCTTAATATCTTCGTTAATAGATACTTCCAACCACTCTTTCACCCCACTTTTCAAACTTTCAGAAAGATCAGAATCTACAACAAAGTGGGTAATTGAATGTTCCCCCACGGTTTTTGAACTTCTTATCAACATGAAATCAATTGCAATAGGTTGGAAAACTATTCGAATCACCGAGCACTTCGGAATTCGTCGATGCAATAATTGTCAAGATTTCCCACATTCAAGCAAATTCTGCACTTATTCAACACATTGTCTATACTGCGGAGATAATCATCATATCTCGCAATGTCAAGCTCCAGCTCCAACCTGCATTAACTGTCAAGTTAATAACTCTTATTTTAACACCAATTTTCATATCTATCATGCTGCAAATGACGTTCACTGCCCTTCTTATCAATTAGAAGTCTCGAAAATAATATCAAGAACATACTACTAATGGATTCTCATAAACAAATAAGAATACTACAAATAAATTTACAAAGAGCTCGTGCTACTTTACCGAATGCTCTACAGTTTGCAAAAGAAGAAAATATCAATATCATCTTTGCACAAGAACCATATATTTCCTCAACAAGGAAATTGGAAATTCCATCGGGGCTATTTTATCATCTTTCGCATTCTCATAAATCTGCTATAATCTACATTGGGCCTCTAACTCCAATAATAGTTCATACTACTCTACATACAATAACTATCAAATTAGAATTTCTTATTCATCCTTTATTTTGTACCTCCATTTATGCTCCTCCATCAATAGACTTGCAAGAGATACTTATAGAACTGGACTCAATTCAACTGCCTCCAAACTCAAATCACATCATTGCAGGAGACTTCAACGCACATAGCCCTGTATGGGGAGCGCCGGTTGAAAATAATAGAGGTAGACTGCTTTTAGAATTTATTCAAGAAAAACGACTTACAATTTTAAATAACGCTAATAGTCCACCTACATTCCTGACACTAAGAGCACAAGGTTGGATTGACTTAACTCTCGCAACGCCTAAAATAGCATCCTTAATCACAAATTGGAAAGTTTCTGAAATAGAATCTTTTAGTGATCACCGATTCATCACCTTTGAAATACAATCTGATTTCACTTTTAATAAAAAACGTCGCTTCAAAACTCATTATGGCGGACACAATAAATTTATAGCTAATCTACAAAATTACTCTGACAGTATTCTTCATTCCTTAAAAACAGCCTCTTCAAAAGCGGAAGTAATATTCCTCTGTTTCATACCTCATAAATAGTATAACAGAGATCTGCAACTCCTCATATAAACGATGCTCACGTGCCAAAAAATTAAGTACTCCATGGTGAAACCAAAATCTTGCAATAGAAAGAAAAAACGTAAGAGCTCTCCGAAGAAGATACAAAGCCTGTATAGAAGATACAGAAAGAACTCACTATAAAATAGCATTCCAAAATGCAAGAGCGCATTATAAAAGAAATATCAGAATATCAAAAATTAATAGTTGGAAAACATTTTGCACTTCTACCTCCAAAATTTATGGCTCCGCCTTCATTATCAATGTACAGTTTCTCTGAATCAATTTCCTCTTCCCAGGCTGCGTTAGAAATTTTATCAAAACTATCCCACAAGATCAATATAGATCGAATCATACCACAGATACAGAAGCATCTAACAGTTCTTCTGCATGTCATCCTAATCCACCAACAGTTATCATCCCTCCAAACATCGATGAATTCGAACATATCATCAAAAGACTAAATAACAGGAAAGCACCAGGTCCCGATGGTATCGACAACATCATCTTAAAACTTATTTTTTATAATTATCAACAAATTATTATATCATTCATTAACGCCTGCTGGTATAACTTAACATTTCCATAATATATTAAAAAATGCAGAAGTTGTTTTGCTCCTCAAGAAAAATAAACCAGCCACAAACCCTCTATCTTATAGACCAATATGCCTTCTTCCCACGTTGGGCAAACTCCTTGAAAAACTAATCCTTTCAAGACTTTTATATCATCTAAATAAAAATAAAATCATGCATGAAAATCAGTATGGATTTACACCAAATAAATCAACAGATCATGCTTTTCAAAAAATGCAAGAAGTCTTAAAGATGAATGAATCAAAGAATCTTCATTCAATAATAATTTCGATAGATATTCAAGCAGCCTTCGATTCTATCCGCTGGAAAGACATCATAACAATTCTAGAAATAATACCATGCCCTCAGGATATCCTTCATATTATCAAAGACTACCTATGCAATAGAACTCTACAATATTCTTCAGATTCCGGTGTAATAAATTATAAATTAACAAAAGGTTGTCCTCAAGGATCTTGCTTAAGCCCTACGTTTTGGAATCTTATAGCAAACGAAGTTTTAAAACTATATGACAATATTAAACATACCCATATCCAAGCATATGCAGATGATTTTCTTCTCATTGTGAACGCAAGTAGCCGGAAATCAATAGAAATTAACTCCAGTTTTTCTTTAAATATCTTCCGCAACTGGACATAACTATAAAACATCTACTATAAAATGTAAATGGACATCTACTATAAAATGTAAAGCACTATATATTCCAAAAAGAGGTACTTCCATAAAAAACCTAAGAAAGCCAATAATCAAAATTTCTCAAGAAAAAATCAAAATTGACAAGAGCATCACATATCTGGGAATAGTATTAGATACTCGGCAATCCTGGCATTTCCATATTCAATATCTCAAAAACAAAACTTTAACCCTTCACAATTCTCTTCGATCTGTAACAGCCAGCACTTGGGGTATATCCTCAAAATTAGAAAAAATTTGGTACATAACAGTTATTGAAAAAATACTACTATATGGTGCTTCCGTCTGGGGTTTAACCTTGAATTCCCAAGGCTCAAAAACATTTACTTTCAATCCAAAGACCTTTCCTTTCCTCCTCTCTCTAGCAAAAGCATATAGAACTACTCCAACTAGTGCGCTACAAATAATAACAGGCATCCCTCCAATTACTTTATCTCTAATAAAAGAAGCAAATAAAGTAAGAATATCAAAACTAAGAATTCAAAGCATAATGAATAATAATGTATTTCAACCCACAGATTTTGAATATCTTAAACACAACTTAGAGCTACATCCTACATTTTTTTTACACAAAATCCCTATTGGGAACCTTTGAACTCAATAAATATGAACTCACCATATATACTGATGGTTCGAAATCTGAAGCAGGCGTTGGTAGTGCATATTGCGCATTCCGAAAAAATTCAAATATTAAAAACTGGAATATTCGTTTAAACAATAACAACTCAGTTTTTCAAGCAGAACTTTTTGCAATCAAAGAAGCCATATGCTTCGCAAAAGAACTTTCTTTACCATCCTTAATTCTCTCTGATAGTGCATCTGGTATTCAAGCTATAATTGGACACAGTCGATCGCCTATTGTACAAGAAATCCATTTTCTACTTTCTCAATTTCAAAACAATAATAGACCACATTTCAAATGGATTAAAGCACACATCGGTAATAGTGGTAACGAGCTCGCAGACGAACTAGCAAAAGGGGCTGCAAACAATTCTTCCCTTCCAAATTACTCAATTCCATATCCAATATCATTACTAAAAACAAAATTAGAAACAGAATTAATGCACTTATGGAAGCAAACCTGGACTGAAGCAACTACCGGCAGAAGAACGTTTACTTTCATATCAAAACCTTCAAGATCATTAATATCTACCAACCGTTCAATTACATTTTTCCTAACAGCTCATGGTCCATTTCCAGAATACCTTCATAGATTCGGACTTCAGCATACAAATCTCTGTACCTGTGGTAATGAAGGCACAATAGATCATTATCTCTTTCACTGCAACCTTACTAAAGATTATCACCTTAAAGCATACAGTTTAACTTCTGCTCAGTTATGGTTTCAACAGTTATTAAAAAGTAATATTCTCAATAATCTTCATAATATAATAAATTATATCTCCGCAAACATCGATAATCTTAAAGGAACTTGAAATCATTATTCTTTGTTCATTTACCTTACTTAATAGCCATTCTTTCTACTACCTCATTTTAATGCTTTTCACTCAAGACTATCTTTATTTAAGTAAACCTTCAAGATCTCTCAAGCTCGATCAAGAATTTAAGGATATTTTCTAACTCCATCTCCTTAATATATTAATAAAGTCTCAACTCAAGATTTTTAGTCAAGTCTTTTACTCAAGAATGACTCTCTATCAAGAATTTCCTACGAACTTTTCATTCAGGTCATCCTAATTCATTCAAATACTATTTCTCATCAACTTTTATTCAATTACTACTGCTCTTCATTCTCCATAATGAAATACTTTACTCTTTACATATCTTACATTCTCAGCCTCTACTATTCTTATACATTATGTTGTTCATTTTCAAAATTTGTAATGATCTTCTTAAGTATTTACTTATCTATTTACGTTTCATTTACTTTCATATTTCTTTAGGTATTATGTTTTTATATATTTAATTTCTTCAATTTTTATTATATAATTCTCAAATTCTGATACTTTATTTGGCTTCATATATAACACCATTGTATTTATCTTATTCTAAATTTTTAACTTTTATTTATTGTATCTATTTATGTTTATTATTTATTGTATTATTTATATATTTATTTCTTGATATTTAATTTTTATTATGTAATTATCAAAATTCTAAAATTTTATTGTATTTTACATAACAACACAGTTGGTAGATGATTCCATCAGTTGAGCGTAAAAGCTGAATGTCTTAAAGGCGGTGCAGCTGCTCATCTGATGGTAAATAAATAAATAAATATTCTTTTATATAGAGAGACCTAAATTTTTATAATTCGGAGTTCAGTTACTTTGCTTTTTAACTCTTGTAGCCGAGTTACAAAATAAAACTGACGAAGCAAGCAATGCCGTTAATTTTCTCATATTTTTTCGTCTTTTCCTTTTTCTAGGTCTGGTTCCAGAACCGGCGCGCCAAGTGGCGCAAAGCAGAACGACTTCGCAAAGAGAGGGAGGAGAAGGACCGCCTTCCCTCTTCCGACGACCAGGGAGTTGCTCACGCTCAGGACGATCCGGCCTCCCCCGATGACGACCCCACAGACGACCCTGCACTTCTCCTGACTGGGGACAAAGCGGGGTCGTCGCCCTCCTCCTCCCAACGGCATCTGACCGATGAGGAAGATGCGGACAGCAGCGGCAGGGAGGACGACCTCTCCCCGCCCAGAGCGGTGGCGGCGGCGGCCGCCACCGGATCGGCGTCCGGGGATGATGCCGGAGGGGAGAACGCCATGGAGGTGAGGAAAACTACAGGAACTGCAACTTTATCGACTTTTTCAATTATCTATAAGCCGATAAAATTGGTGTTTAAAGCCGGTTTATTGGAATGTTTTCATTTAAAAAAATTGAACGGTAAATAATACTCCAACTAGATGTTTATTTTAAACTTGTCACGTACGAGGTTCTCAACCAAGGGAAATTTTACAAATTTAGGGTTGAGAATGCAGTCAGCCTTTTATTTAGTTTCAGTTTATGAATATAAAAAACTACTTTTGATTAAGTAAAACAAAAATCCTCAAGCCTTTTGTGCTCTATAGTAATGATGTAAGCACGAGGCCTACAAAAAACTTCAAGAGTAAATTTTACATACATCAAATATAAAATTGTGTAGTGATACCACATACAAAAATAAAAATACCGCAAATAAAATACAAACTACTAAATACTATACACCAACTAATTTCAGTGGTTTCAAAGCGCGTGTAATCCTCAAATCCATTTTATGCAGCCCGAGATGACATTTTAATTATGAATTAGTTGCAAATACTGATTTGCAAAGATTTCAAGACTTTAGCTATTTGAAGGTCTGATTTTATATCATTTTCATTTCCATTATAAACGAATACGAATAATGTATCTGAGCACCTATATAAATAGACCTAATTAATGTACAGTGTATTACAGGTACTATAGAAAGGTTAGAAAATACAAATTTTCTTAGCTTTTATTCGTACGTCTGAAAAAATAAATAAGCTTACTTACAATTTTTTGTCTTAAGAATAATTTAGACACACGACAGTGGGTCAGCCAACTTCGAAACGGACGGAAAAGTAAACAGCGAGACACCGGCCATGTGCATCTTTCACGAACCATTTCGAGCTGATTTCGAGCCCCCATTACTCAAAAACTATTAGACCTACAAACTTGCAAATTTGTGCGTCTAATAGAAATCCCTTGAACACTTAGAATCCTAAATTTCATTGATCTACCTCTTATAGTTATTGAATTATTAAAGTCTGAAAAGTGTCATTTTTATCACTCACTGACTGATCAAAAACCTAGACGATTTCTAAATGACTTAGATACTTCAAATTTGACATCAAAGTAGATTAGGCATATTTGTGTATGCCTAGTATAACTTGATGCCAAATTGAAACTAAATCAAATCTAAAACTACAAAAAACTACATTATTATCGACTTTAAACCAAATAATACTCATAATGAGCATTTGACAACGTCACCATTAAATGGCGTTGCTCCAATAGTCGGTTTCCGAGCCATTAATCAACTTTCCTGAAAGTAAAGAATAAAAACCTGTTTATGATAGGTGAAATGATGGCACAGAGGTAGAGTGCAGAGTCGCCTTTTTTTTTTCCATTTTGGTAGTAGGTTCGGGCCTAACTACTGTAATAATAATATAGAAGTTTTAATTTACAATAAATTAAATTATTTAGTTCAAGTTATAAGTTTTAATTGTTAATATTAGTTTAAGTTACAAGTTTTAATTGTCAATTAATTACGTTAAAAATTTGATTTTTCCAATTAGAAAGTAACTCGCGAAGCCAGAAATCCGATATCAAAGAAAGTAATAAATTGTATTTTAAATGAATTGAAAGACGTTGTAGATTCCTACAGCTCTTGCATACGTTAGATCTCAACCCCTTTGTCAATGACACCGACTACACCGGACGTCGTTTCTCTCGAACTTGGCCTCCTTTTCACATTTATGCTATTGTCGTGATAGGTTTGTATGTGAACAACATTTTTGCACAGTTTAATGTAAATCAGAAATGAACCCCATTGACCTCTGAGCATCTACATTTGTGACTTAAATAATTTCTCTTCAAAAATAAGTAATTATTCAAAATCGAAAAGCCACCGATTTTCAGGCTGTAGTAAGAAATGAAGAAGTTTATGATAATTTACAAACGTATGCTTTGTGTTTATGCATCGAAGAAAAATTTAATGTGCGGAGTCATTAGATTATTTTTGAAGAGACTTGAAAAAATGTGCCACGCCCTCGCCGGGAGACGAACCTGCACCTCTCGAATACGCGCCGAGTGTGCTACCGTTGCACCACGAAGGCATGCCGGAAGGAGAGAGGAAACACATACTCTCCCTTTCAAAGGTCGACTGGGGATAGAATCGTCAAATCCTGATGGTGACTAATTATCGTCCATCACCTTTTAGTTCGGGCGTCACTGTAGGTTATTTTTGAAGCAGGAGACGTGAGAAATGAAAATGTGCTGTCCCCTCCCCGGGAGGCGAACCTGGACCTTTCGAATACGTGCAGAATATGCTACCGTTATATTACGAAGGAGTGCCGGAAGGAGGGACAAAATGCCTTATAAATTCATTAGAGAAAGAGACTAAGTTGTCGTTATTTACTCTCAGGTTTCGCACGGATTTGTAAATTTCCTCTGAAAACGTGGAAAATAAATATTTAGTAAGCGAAATTTGAAATTTATTTAAATCACTTTTTTTTTGTTCATAAAACTTTTCATTTCATAAAAAATTTTTAAAAAAAAATCTGTGCCATCAGCTGTTCTCATTAATATCCGGCCTGCATGTAAGTTTCGTTTGAGATCACTGAAATAATTTGCTGTAACGTCAATAAATTATTTATAAATCCGTATACTGGGTCTTTATCACGGAAACACAGAGAACATTCCTTACTTAAATGTGTAGAGTCATTAGGTTATATTGATGTAGAAACAGAAAAAATGTGTAATCCGAACTCAAAGAAAACACCTTATACGTATTCAGATTGTATTGGACCTCCTGAATACGCTTCAACCGTACTCCCTGTTACATCACGAAGGCATGAGGAAAGGAAGGAGAAAAACCTTAGAAATGTGTAATTCATAATGATATTCATTTTTTATTCATAATGACCTTTAAAATTAATCACACAAAAAATAGCTCGTTTAAACTAAACATTTTTAAGAGAAATTTTTTTGGGGTGTGTAAAATGTTTTTTGGTAAAATAATCCGGTCACTAAGCAAGCTCTCTCAAATTATTTGTTGGTTTGGCAGCCATTATAAAACTCCTGTGTTATTTTAGTTAATTTCTGCTTAACTTTTCTTGTTGAATATACTCTTTTCTTTATTGAAAAGCCCGCCAAAGCCCGAATGGTAAAGTCGCTGAACACTGGTAATTCGGTTCCAAGGTTTGAATCCCGCGAACGGGCTGGCTGCACGGGCGTTTTCGTGGTTTTTCCCATGAGTAACGTGTATACGAGCCGGTTTCTCTTCAGAAAGCCCTCGACGAAGGCATCCCTCTCTTTAAGCAGATGAACCCCGAGGCCTTACCTCGATCACAAGAATAAAATCTTTTTTGAAAACTTTGTATTTTTTAAATTTATTTAACTTTATTGATGGAATGTAAAATTTTTGTTCTTTATTAGGAATCGAATGTTTCCTGCATTAAAACAACATAGGAGCTTAAGAGCCCACTAAATTTTAGGAATTAATATCACACGTACTTCCTCCTAAGTCAGTGAAATCTGTTTTAGTTCTTCTATAGACAATCAGTTTTTTCCATGAATCATTTCTCTGTAGTTACCGTTTATTCTGGATTCATAAAAGCCTGCCTAATCTTTGTCATTCCAGATTTTGAAATTGGAATCGGAACGCTGTGTTAAAATATCACAATCACCAGTTCCCCTTCTTTTATTTGATACCTAAGAGAGCTCTCTATTTCATTCTTTAAAAGGGTGTTTCGATTTTACACTTGAGTTGGACTTTTAGTATGACCTAAACGATGTATGAAACAAACAAAGTTAAAAACAAAAATGTTTCAGCACCAAATTTTATTAGTTCTAATACTAATATTGTATCAGAAGAACATATACATCATCAGCTGTGAAATACACATCACATTTAAAATTTATGGACGTTTATCTAACTCATTAAGAGCAGAACTCTAAATAAGTGTACAGATGATATTGGTACTAAGCCTTCGATTCTGTAACGAATCGAATAATGCTTTAAATTAAAATGATCAACAAAACGTACCTGTGTCCCGTCCGAGGTTCAACCCGTGTTTTCGATCTCTCAATGATCTGTATCGAAAAATATTTTTAATCTGTTAATACTGATGTTAATTATTTGAAGGCAAGAAGAGAACTTTTTTGTGTGCTCAGTGTTGATATTAGGTCATCAAGAACATGAAGATAACTGAAATTTTGCTCCTCTCTCTCAATTTTTTCTTTCATTTTCAAAATATTTGTAAACGTTTTTTCTCTTTACCATTTTTAATCTTCACCTTTCTGAATCATATTCACCAAGATGCTAATGTCATTACTAACACTGAAAATGAGGAAAAATTAACAATAAATAATAACTAAAGTAGGAAACGTATGCTTTAAACCTCATCAGTCTCATACATCTTATTAACTAACACCAAAATAGTTCGCAGAATACAAATCATAATATTAAATCACAGTTATAAGGGTTATAACATCATACGCATGATACTGTTCGAATGAAACTCTAAAATTCACAATTTTAAATATATAAAATAATACCTTATAAGTTTAAAATTTCGGATTCCATTTTAAATTGCTTTACAAATCATTGCTGTCCACAGCTTCAAAACAAAGAATACTTAAATTAAACATTGCAATATTTTCCAGGGTTTTCAAATGAGTTAGTATTTTTGCATTTTCACAGTTCGTATGAATTTTGCGAAAAAAATATGCCAGAAAAGCCAACAAATTAACCAAAATTTGTAAAGTTGCGCGCTTCCAACCTGCAAGCAACAAAGTGGTGACTGCTGAAAACTGGAAATTAGACAGAGTCCTGAGAAGGGTTTAAGTCCCTTTTTATTCAACTTTAGAAATTACAAATGCGTGCTCTTGACGCTCACAAACTACGCCGACCCGGTGGTAAAATAAAAATAAGAAACTAAAAAGAGATAATAACAAGCGACTAACTACGAGGCTCTCTAAACGTAACTAACCTCACCGCGTTCTAAAATTCCGCTGATAATTCAGCAAACTCTGAATATTACGT